AATTTAATTTAAAAATTTGGAGATTTCTAGGACGCGCGCAATCCAGCAGTGGCCGAACTATCCCCGGAAGATTTTGAGGCATTCGTTCTGGAACCTTCTGAAGAAATTTGGGTTGTTGATTTTTTTGCGCCTTGGTGCGGCCCATGCAATCAAGTATGGATTTCTCTAATTCTTAAAGTTTTGTAAAAACTTTAAAATATGGCGTTTTTTTTGTTGACCTGTACAATTCCATTATTTTAAAATCTGTGTTTGGAGCTTCAATTCTAAATTGCTGTCAGCTTGCGCCGGAGTTCAAGAAGCTTGCGCGGAATATGCGCAGGAAAGATTTCGTTCACTTTGGGATGGTTGACTGCGATGAGTACAAATGGTTTTGCTCGAATTTGGGTATTCATGCATATCCGACGATCAGACTATATTCCTCTGGATCATATACTGCGTAAGTGGCAAGTTGCATATTTTTCTGGTAAGAAACGAACTTGAAGAGGCACTGTAAAGTATGTGGGTTTTGAAGCGTTTGTGCCGTTATTTAACGATTCTGTAACAACACAGTTTTGTCTTAGAAATTTTTCAATCGTTTATCAGTTTGTGTTAAAAAAAAGTAGCAAGTGGGAACATTTGGAACAGGATGCAGTTCGTCCTTGTTGAAATATAACCAGTCCTGTATTTCGCGAAGCAAAAAAGGCACGCAAGTGGATAATTTTTATTTGTTAGCAGACCGCATAACAGAAGCGTCCAGCGTCAATGTAAGACATGAGGACAGTTTTCTTCATAACGAATGCATAACAATTTGATTCGTATAGTTCTCACCGCATTTCTGGGCGCTGTACATCTTTCATAGATCACCTTAAAATGCATATGCAGCATGAAACGCATAATGGTGCTTAATGCACTTATTGGTTTTGAATTCTGTTGTGCTTGCAGTGATTACCCATCGAATTGGTGGCGTGATCACCGAACAATGGAAGCATGGCTGATAAGCCATTTGCCGTCAAAAGTGATGGAAATGGGTGGAGATTTCTATGCGCAAGTGCTAGATAACGATGAGCCGTGGTTGATCGATTTCTTCGTTTCGTGGTGCTCACATTGCGTGGATTTCGCTCCCGTTTTTGAACACATTGCTGAAGTATGCCATTTTTATGATAGCAGTTGCAACTTCAGTCTTTTCGGAAGTTTATTTCTTCACTGACAGCTTATTCAGTAATAAACATTGCTTTGCTACTTTGGCTGTAGTCGTCGAATAGAACAACAGCAGTCTGATCTATTGTTAATATTTCGTAAATAGTTTTAAATACAGTGAGTGAGAATTAGTGAAAGGTAGGATCCTGCACTGGTTTACGAATTTCTAATGTTCGTTTTGAAAAGTACTTCTGAAATTATCCTTGACTCAAAAGTGCTGGATGGGGTTATTTTCCAAAGTATCGTAAATTTTTGTGTGTGCTTTTTCATTGACTCAGTTTTAGATGCTTGAGGGGCGCGTGAAGCTTGCGAAAATTAACTGCGACTCGTGGCCAAATATTTGTCATGCTGTTGGCGTGAAAGCTTATCCGACACTACGATTTTACGGTGGCGCACGTGGAGGTCATATCCAGAAGACCGGAGGCATTCCAATTCAATCTCAGAATGCAGACACCGTAGTACAGTTGGTCGAAAATGAGCTGAACAAAGCAAAAAAGCTTCTGAAGACGGAACTGTGACCTGCTACAGATGATCGTTGGAATTTTTTGGGCTGGAATCTCTATTATTTAGAAAATTTCTGCAACGGGATACAGTTGAGCTTTTGAAGCGACATAATTGGAGGTGCAGATTGCTCCGTTTTTGCGCTCTTTTCGTACTGCTATTGATTTTTCTCTATGCAAAACGATTCATTCATTACTGTTGCCTTTACATAGTGCATTTGGTGTTTGGATTACCCATGATTACTCATTGTTTCATACGCTTATTTCTCTCACTACTGCATAACTGTCCCTGATCTATGATCTCTGTCTTAAATAATTTCCTAACTGTCTTTTTCCATTTTGTTAGGAAGCAGTTCTTTTCCGGGTAAATGGGTTGTCAGTTGATAAATGGGTTGCCAGTTTCCGAATGTAAAAAGTATTTTTAAAAATGCTTTAGGACTTTTATTATAGCTTATTTGAACGGAGCAAAGATT